ATCTGCATGGTGGAGATAAACCTTTACTATGTTTCCTGTAAAAATAGAGCTGGTTCTTTTCAAAGGACTCTAAATAAAATGGACTCACCTCAGCTTTAGTTGTCTCTGGATAAAACTTGAAGGCTTATAGAATCTGACTTTATATATATATAATATATATATACAAAGAATGCTTATTTTTCCTCATCAGATGTTATCAATTTTTATAAATTCATATGGTGTGATTTTCTGGAATTTTCTTCGTGATTCTGTCTTTCACTGTTAGAATGTACATATGATTAAAGTTATAGATCGTTGCATTCTTTGTAAGTGGGCAAACCTGCAAAATCAGCAAGGGCTCAAATACTTATTTCCCCCACTGTATATATATATATATATATTTTTTTTTTTTGTTAACCAAAGCGTTTCTACTGTTTTCTTTGAAAACCAATTAAGATGTGTCCATCCAGCTGTACTTACATCCACTGGATTTGGTTTTTGGACTTCTTTTGGATCAGGTTGATGCCCTCCAGGACGTTGGTAACGTCGTACACTCGTCTCTTGGACACGCTGAGCTCCTGGCAGACCGAGTTTAGGTCCAGCACCCCGTCCACGGTGCTGCCCAGCAACCTCTTGAACTTCCTGGTGAGGAGGCCCAGGGAGGTATCACAGCGGGGAACCATCAACCTGTGACCTGGGAGGTTTGGGACGACAAAGACTGGTGAAATGTATTTATTTATTTATTCGTTTATTTGATAGGGACAAGTATGTTTCATGGAACATGTCACCAGTGTTGGGTAAGTTACTTTAAAAATGTTATCCGTTACAGTTACAAGTTACCTTGTTTAAAATGTAATTGTAGTGTAACTTTTTTGATTACTTTTAAAAAGTAATGTAACTAATTACTTTTGATTACTTTTTGATTACTTTAAGGTTTTAATGAGTATTATATTTAAAAAAAAAATGTAACTAAATTTGTAATTCTTAATATTTTCGGAAGTAACTGTAACTGAATTACATATTTTCTCATTGTAACTGTAACGAATTACAGTTACTCTTTTTTTGTAATTAAATTACGTGTTACATGTAATCCGTTACTCCCCAACACTGCATGTCACACACTACAACATTTTAGCTAAGGGCTAATTGTCAATGCCTGTCCCCAGTTAGGCTTTTACACAAAACACAGTGACTGCACACAACAGAACAAATTACACACTAAAACATCACAGACACAATATCAGGTCAGTTAGATTATTAATGTTCACATGTCTGACCTCTCAATAAAAAGTATTCAAGTTTATGTTTAAAAAGGACCCAGTGTGACTCACTCAAAACCTCAGGGGCCTCACCATGCAAGCATTTAAAAACCAGTTTTAACTGAGCAAATATGACAAAGTTCTCAAAGTTTAGCATTTTTAAACTGTTCAGACTAACACAGTGATGAGACCTGATTGGTTTTTTACCAAAGATTTTTATAGCTCTATTGTATATCATCTGAAGAGGCTTGATAGTGGTGCTTGTGGCCTGTGTAGTGGCACTCTGCGTCCCAAAAGTTCATTGTACCACCTTTGCAGTTTGTCTAACAACCAATATTTGAATCACTCGACTGAAACCAAGTCTTCTTTTATGATGTTTACTTAAAGAACTCAAAAAAGTACACTTATAGAAAAAATGAAAGGCTCTGTACAGATCGGTCAAAAAATTGTGCTGCGCATTACGTATTGGAAGCCAAATTACTTTTCACAATAAAAGCATCCTTTTACATTAACTAAGTTATACATTCTAGAAAAATATACTCATCATGAATTTCTTAAAAGTAAATTAAGCATATTTATACATTTCTAATCTAAATTATTGTTCTATATGAACTCCCCATTAACTGGCTCTTAAAGCCTGTGACCCAGAACTAATGCAGTAACTTAGATGTAAATCTGTCCGGGTGGAGGTGAACTTTTCTCACCCTTTCCCCCCTTTGGGGTCAGGCTGGTGCGGGGTGGTTGGGGTTCAGAGGCTTCGGCCCCAGGCTGCTCGGGCCCATCTCCATCCCGGGGGTCCGCCGGGAATCCAGATCCCAGCTCCAGCCTTCTGTCCGTCCTAACAGGAAGCAACATTTTGGAATTAATGAGAATCAGAATAAGGTTTATTGCCAAGAAGGTTTTTGACTTACAAGGAATTTGCCTTGGTGTTTGGTGCACAACACTTCAATGAGAAGCAAGGAAATACAATGTAGAAATAAAAATATAGAACAGAAAATATCAAACTAAAAAGTACAATCTTTAAAAATGTAGATCTGAGAATAGAAATATGGATATAAGACTCAATAAATTGTCAGAACTCTCTGAGCTCCACTGGGCAGTTACAGTTCGGGGAAATAAGTATTTGACCCCTTGCTGATTTTGCAGGTTTGCCCACTTACAAAGAATGCTTATTTTTCCTCATCAGATGGTTATCAATTTGTATAAATTCATATGATGTGATTTTCTGGAACTTTCTTTGGGATTCTGTCTTTCACTGTTAGAATGTACACATGATTAAAGTTATAGATTGTTGCATTCTTTGTAAGTGGGCAAACCTGCAAAATCAGCAAGGGGTCCAATACTTATTTCCTCCACTGTATTATTTTACAGGGCAGCCATTTTGGCCAGAGGCTCAATATAAAGCCTATAAAGCTTTGCCATGAGAAACTCTCATCTGGGTTAGCTTCCTGGAGCTAATTAGCTTTTTGGGGGTTTCCATTTGGGATGAAGCTAACTTCCCTCACGAGTGTTTTTAGCTAGTGGGGGTCCCACTCCCACCCCCTGCTCACCTTAAACCTCCAAAGGGACTTTTCTCGTCTCGGAACTGAACAGTTTGAAGTCACTTTGCTAGCCGAGGCTCAGTCGCTGTCCGAGTGAGTTGTGAAAACAAACAACACCTAAAAAAACAACACTTTTAAGACGTTACGAGACTCCTGTGCCCAAGATTGAGAGGAAAAGGGCGCACGAGAAGTTACCGGAAATAGAAAATCGTTGGAAAAACGGTTTACTTTCAGAATAACGACACCACGTTATCGGCATTTAACACATAAGTTTACAAACAAACTCATATCCATTGCAAAAATAGGTATCGGTCCGTTTTCATATATAAAAGCAGCGAGATAATCTTCCAACAAGCATTAATGTACATTTTTTCCATAATTTCTTCTTCCAATGAGCAGCGCCAATTTTGTTTAGTTTCGTTTTACAATTATAATTAATTATTGGTAACAAAGATAGATTTCTGGAAGCTTAAATTTGCTTTTAAACAACCTGCTGCCATGCTACATTCCTCTGACTACTGACCATGTCTATATAAGGACAATTTCCCAAAAATGACATTTGAAAACATCCCCAACGTACTATATCCTTCAAATATGCTTTTAATCTGAAAGACCGGTTTGTTTCTGCTTTTTACACTAGTATTGACCAACAATGCGAGTGGTTACAGCTCAAAGTTTGAGTTTAATGTCAACTACTACATTTAGTGTAGGTGAACAGAAACGTATATAAAAAGTAAAATCAGACATCGTACGTTTCAGAGGGACTCAGACTTTTACTTTATCCTGGATACTTAGAAATCGAAAAATTACGACTTCTGCCAGTTTTAATTTAAGAAAATTATTATAAGCTCTGTGTGGATTAAACCACTGATTAATAGTATTGAATGTATTGTTTATGATAAACAATACAACAAAAATATGAATGCATTTCCCGGGGTAGTTTCAAAGCAGATTTTCTAGGCCTCTTCTTATTGGCCATTTAACTATACGTAGGGTCGATTACGTCTGACGTCATAGTAGCTGACCAATAAATAGCTGGGCCAGAAAGTTGCAGGAAGAAGCATGTTTACTTTCATGCAATGCCGTTAAATATAATATACTATCATTAAAAAAAATCAAAAAAAGGCTGGACAACATCATTTTGACTTAAACTTTGTTATTGACAGGTAAAAAGTACAGATTCAAATTTAGTAGATATCTATGACAGTCATGTCTGGGTACACAAAGATTTTAATTACGTGGGTACAATTTTTTTTTGACAGGGTAGAGTAGCAACTTCTAAATATGGTGACACATCTTTCTAAACATGAAAAAGTGAATGCTAACTTCACAGACAGATTTCACCTTAGCACATAACTTTATTTTAACAACATATTTATCCTAATGGTCCAACAAAAAATGTGATAATCTGGTGTAATGAGTCTTCTCTTTATGGTCCAAAAAAATTTGAAAATCTGGTATAAGGAGTCAGGGCAAAAGAGCTCACACAACTAGCATCGTATGATTGCTAATCAATTATGAAATTACCCTTTTTTCTTTTTTACTTATGGTAAATCATGTTTGATGCCCTAAATATGAAGCAAAATACAAAACGTATTCAGTAAAAACAACACGGTTTCAGTCGTCATCGTCAAATTTAATTTTCTTTCCTTGGAAGGCGAGGATGTGTCCTTGCTGCTCCTTTCTTTTCTTGCTGGCCTCCCAGGATGGGTGCAGCGCGGGTTGGGATGCCTGATGAGAAAAGGCCCCTCTACCCCCCGGGTCCTTTTGCCTTCGGACATCCCCTCTGCCCCCCCCCCTCCCTCTCCCTCCCCAGGCCTTTTCCTCAGACCCGGGGCGCTTGTCTGAATTCGAAACTGCTCTCTCCTGGCTTTGGAACTTAGTGGACTGTTTGCTAAA